GGGTCAACGGAGCAGGCCTTCTGGGTGGTTATGAGTACAGTAATACCTCTAAGGGATTTCACACATGTGTTCCAGCCTGGTGCAGTGTCATCTTTTGGCTTGAGAGTAACAGAAATGACAGCATTTTAAAGCATTGCATTAACACTGTGTCTTGATTCTGACATTATTTAAGAGCTGTAAAGGTGAAGTCACATAAAGTTGATGAAAAATACTTACTGTATTGCATCTCTTTTAGAAACTGCAATGTCCATGATGTTAAATGAAGTTAAATAATGACGTTAAATTAAGTTAAATAATACTCAAAATTGTCATAATGGAGACAAATGGTAATAAAAGTCTATCAACAGCACATCTACTGCACAGACTCCTAAACGTTATATGAAATGAAAATTTTTCATTTTCATTTCATCCTCAAACAACATTCCAATAAAGCTGTAGGTCAGTCAAGCATGTTCATTGCAGAGAGGTCCCAGCCATGTATGTAAAACACACTTTTCCCGGGGCTTGTAGATTTTTGCTGGCAGCTCTTATTTGGACTTGTGTGAACCTTCAGCCCCGCCCCTGGTCCCCAGGCCCGGCGTGGGTCTTATTTAAGGGGCTCTCCTCACCCTGAGCCTTCGTCCCAGTGGAAGCATCCGTGTACCAGCGTACCTTGGTGAGTGCATTTCCCAGCTTCTCTCTCTGAATCACGGAGAATATGTGTGCTGTTTCTTTAATTAGCTTTTTAATTATTTCAGGAGGTGTTAGTTTAAGTTTTGAGGCAATGTTTGTTAAATGAATGAACAGATGATGAGACTTCAGCTCAGAGTTTTCTCAGGTTGTAGGAATGTGGTTAAAGCTGGAACTAATGCTAATGTTGCTTGTGATGGCTTGATTGCCATGTGGTGCTGATGAACACTCAGTGAACACTCACTGGATGATGTGTTTCCCTGTGATAAATGCACTCAGCGGGATGGAAAGTTTCTTTGGGACAGCAAAGATAAGACTGAAACATGTGCTGTTGAAGTATTACATGGAGGATTGCTCAAAACCTGAGAGGAAGTTGTTCATGTTTACCAATGTCCCAATGAATGAATGAATGAATGAATGAATGAATGAATGAAGCTAACAGGCAGCTGGGACAGAGAGCCAACTAGTAAAACAACAGTGTGCAGACAGATGAGTGCTGGCCTGGCACTTCTTCTCAGATCTGAAATAGCAGCAGATCCGTGTGTCACTTGTTTCACCCCGTTAAGCACAGTGGGGGTGCCAAGCTTAAAATAGATCACAGGTCTCTCTATTATGCCCCTTTTTGGTGCTACCTCAGCAGCCCTGAGATGTCCCAGGAACAATCATGTCTGTGGAGATACGGTATCAGTAGCTGTACAGCAAGGTTAGGACCAAAATAGCATCAGATTGGCACGTCTTATTAGCTCTCTATAGATAGCACCCAGTGATGCTGGTTGTGTCAGTGTCTGCGAGCGATAATACCTTAAGAACGGTTATCAGATAGCGCTGGCAGATCTTCAGTGCACTGTGGATTACAGCTAATGCATGTAATCATCCGGCTGATTGAATGATTATCACTTACTTTGCCAGATATAGCAGGTCCAGTCATTTCATCACATCGCCAGGCACGCCAGTGATGAAGTGTGTGATTGTTCAGCTATAACAGGCCTTCATGTTATGTACAATGTGATGGACAGTTTAGTCAGCTGCTCCCAACGCTCTCAGTCCGAACCTTCTCTCTTATTGCTTCCATCCTCGCCCCTCATATCTCAGACCACCCCAGTAAAGCCTAATCATGTGTGACGACGACGAGACTACCGCCCTCGTGTGCGACAATGGCTCTGGCTTGGTCAAGGCTGGATTTGCCGGAGATGACGCTCCCCGTGCTGTCTTCCCTTCCATCGTTGGAAGGCCCCGCCACCAGGTACGCTCAAAGAAATCTAAAAAAATCTCTTTATCCTGGGTGTGTGCGACAGAAAGTGGGAGTTTTCACGTATTCACTCTCTCGCTTCCTCCCTCAGGGTGTGATGGTGGGTATGGGTCAGAAGGACAGCTACGTAGGTGACGAGGCCCAGAGCAAGAGGGGTATCCTGACCCTGAAGTACCCCATCGAGCATGGCATCATCACCAACTGGGATGACATGGAGAAGGTGTGTGTTGACAGGGAGGCTCATTTACAACATTCATGACAGCTGAACTTCCGCATCCTTAAGAATTTACGGCTTGGCAGGCCACCTTCACAAAAGCCGCTCTATTTTTAGTTTTCTACTCTCCACACTTTGTTGTTGTTTTTTCAGCCAACAGTTGTTACGGACCCTGATGTCAGCTGTTCTTTCGTTTCTCTACCAGATCTGGCACCACACCTTTTACAATGAGCTGCGTGTGGCCCCTGAGGAGCACCCCACCCTGCTCACTGAGGCCCCCCTCAACCCCAAAGCCAACAGGGAGAAGATGACCCAGGTATTTGGAGTTTAGAGCATTTGTTTAATGATGCATTGATACTTAGGTTGGGGCAAACTTTTTTTTCTCATTCTGGTGGCTTTCTCCTGCAGATTATGTTTGAGACCTTCAACGTTCCTGCCATGTATGTGGCCATCCAGGCTGTGCTGTCTCTGTACGCCTCTGGTCGTACCACTGGTCAGTAAACTTCATAGCTTCGTATGCATTAAACTGTCATGTGAGGGAGAGTGTGTCTGTCATGTGGGTGAATTCTTGTCTCATTGTCAAAGCGAGGTGTCAATCCCTCTTCTGCAGAGTGATGTCAGCAGCATTGTTTAGTTTATGATGTGAGACATAGTTGACGGTGGCAGACTAATTTTAAGCTGCTTCACCTTCACAAGCATGCTGGCTAACTGTGGCTCTCATTTGCTTGTTAAAGGTATTGTGTTGGACTCTGGTGATGGTGTGACCCACAACGTCCCCATCTATGAGGGTTATGCTCTGCCACACGCCATCATGCGTCTGGATCTGGCCGGTCGCGACCTGACCGACTACCTGATGAAGATCCTGACTGAGCGTGGCTATTCCTTCGTCACAACTGGTACGACTATAGTTTGATTTGCACATCAGAGGTGAATCTGTGTTTTTCCTAAATGCTCCAACTTTCTGCCCCTCAGCTGAGCGTGAGATCGTGCGTGACATCAAGGAGAAGCTGTGCTACGTGGCTCTTGACTTTGAGAATGAGATGGCCACCGCTGCCTCCTCTTCCTCCCTGGAGAAGAGCTATGAGCTGCCCGACGGTCAGGTCATCACCATCGGTAACGAGCGTTTCCGTTGCCCAGAGACCCTCTTCCAGCCTTCTTTCATTGGTGAGCTCAGCACCTACACCTGATCTGGTTACCTCTGTTTTCTGAATGATCACGCTGTATTTTTCTCTGCTTCAAAACTCACGTTTTTTGCTTGTTCTCCACCAGGTATGGAGTCTGCTGGTATCCATGAGACCGCCTACAACAGCATCATGAAGTGTGACATCGACATCCGTAAGGACCTGTATGCCAACAATGTGCTGTCTGGAGGTACCACCATGTACCCTGGTATTGCTGACCGTATGCAGAAGGAGATCACAGCCCTGGCCCCAAGCACCATGAAGATCAAGGTGGGGAAATTGCAAAGATTTTCACACTCACTGACCAAGCAAACTGCCTCTCCATAAAACTTACATTTTGTCATTTCTTTACCTAGATCATTGCTCCTCCTGAGAGGAAGTACTCCGTCTGGATCGGAGGCTCCATCCTGGCTTCCCTGTCCACCTTCCAGCAGATGTGGATCAGCAAGCAGGAGTACGATGAGGCCGGCCCCTCCATTGTCCACAGGAAATGCTTCTAAGCGCGCAGCCACCTCCTTTCATCCATGCCTTTCTATGTTGTTGTCCCCTGTACATATATGTCTGTGTTCTATTGTAATAAAGATAAGCCCTTGTGAGAGTATCTGCAGCGCTGTTTTTGTGACTGACAGAATATGCAACACCAATTGGAGAAGGTGGGCTATCTAAACAGTAGCTGAAAAATTGAGATGTGATTATGCAAAAGCACACATGTTTGAGGTACATGTGCTTTACTTGAGCATTATCATTTTTAGTATACTTTCAACTTCCACTTGACTACATGTTAGAGGAAAACATCGTACCTTTTCTGCTTCACCGCATTTATTTGACAGCTAGTTACGCACAAGATAAAGATGTATAAATATTCTGATAATGCCATTTATATTAATCCATCAACAAGCAGCTTTCATGTGTGTATTTCATGTGTTTTAAAGCTTCTAAATCTTCTCATTTGTCTATTTCTATGATTTTTAGATTCAACAAGTGAAACTGACATAGGACAGATGCAATTCAAAATAGCTCAAACTAAATCCACTTGCAGCTGCTACAATAGAAACATGCTGCTGACACACTGATGCTTCACTGCTAATAATCTAATAATATCACATATAACAATATAACAGTCAGAGAGACCAAACCAAAAATATTTGAGCATTTTGAAGGTAACATTAAGGAACTTTAACTAAAGTGGAATTTTTTTTTCCCTGCAAGACTTGTAATAGGGTATTTCCACATTGGTGTGTTCCTACTTCAACCTAAGGATTTGAGCTGCATCACTGCTATTTACTGCATTCAATGTCAAACATGCAAACAAATCGTACACACAGAGGCAGCACTGTATGTGCACAAAAACAGGCATTTTCCATTTTAAAGGTGCGACGACTTTGTACTACTGAGTCTACCGGTTAACCTGAAGCGTCCTCTTAAACGCTTATCTGCCTAAACAGAAGCAGCACCGCCCAGCGAGGCTGCCCGGTGTAAATAAAACATACGTACCGTGGGACGTTATTCGAACAGCTTCCGTCCAATCACAGCGCAGAACGTAGGGAGCGCCGCTGTTTGAATGCACTGCGGAAACGGACAGCTTGGCAGCCGATTTGACCAGCAAGCCGTAGAGAAATGCAGTTAGCTAGCTAACGATTTAAATTGGTGAAATTCACACAAGTCTCCGTTTGAGACGTGATTGATAGAGATTTTCGGTCGTGCGTCACCGAGACACGATCTTATTCTTTCGAGTAAGACTTGTTAATAAGCTAGTATGTCCTGCTAACCGAGCTGGCTAACGTTAGCTAGCTAACTGCATTGCAACTGAAGCTAGCCGTTAGCTGGGCGCTCCATAATGTGATGTTATGCAAGTCGTCAACGAATTGGGACTGTAACTCTGCTGGTGGACGGCTGTGGAGCTTTAGCATCTTGTGAGCGGTCTTGTGAGGATGAGTTTGCGTCAGAAATCCGGGAAAAGTAATTAAGTTAGAGAGGCTGGTGTCGGGGCTGAACTGTGAGAACTGCGGATGTCAGTTTACTTTGGTCCTGGTAGAGGATAGTGAAGGAACTGTTGCAGGGATAGTTGAAGAGTGCATTTTTTTTGAAGGTGAAAGGTACATTTGTAAAATGAAAGTCATGGAGAGGAATGTGATGCGTCTTGTGGCGGTGCAGCAGCTCCGTGCAGCCTATGGCATAAAGACAAAGAACTGGAACAAAAACAAAGCAGCCAGCTGCAAGCTAGCAGCCAGCAGCTCGGTAAGTTTAAATAAACCCATGTACCAATGTTCAGCACCTCTCATTTGACTTTTTTCTGTGACTTTTTTTGACTTGATAAAAATGCTATGGTAGATAAAGAATCAACAAGTCCACAGTATCAGCTTTGGCCATGCTATTGTTTAGGCTGTTGGATCAGATTTGCATATTGCTGAAAGCTTGCCCCCACTGATGGGACCCATTTGTTCGCAGACTGTTGTCACCCATGTCAGTCACTGCAGATGCTTTGTTTGTCGGTGCCCCTGATTATTCACACCATAAACTTCTTTACCAATAGTACAAAGAGAAATCCAGACAAGACACAAAGGGCAAAGTTTTCCTATAAATCTTTATGGCATGTTGTTGAAGTGTTTTTGGACACTTTGACAAAAAAAAAAAAAACTTGACATTGAGACGGCACATTTTAACTTCTGAAATGCAGTTTAAAATTCATTGGCAGCCCTTGTGAAAATGACCACTCTTAATTGGCTCACAGAAGTCACAAGGTTTGTTGCAACAGTCTGACTTTTAAAATGAATGCTGAACTTCTGCATTTGCTGGTATTAAATTTGAAGAGAGAGTTGCAATGCCACAAATTCCACCTCATACTGTGAAGAAATCAAGAACTGAAATTAAGTCATTGTGCTGCAATGAAAAAACGCTGAACAGATTCAGGTCATTGAGGTTTGAAACAAACATAAAGTGCCTTTGAGAGCATCCATTTTGGCCTCTAAAGCACAGAAATGTCTGGCATTCAGCTACCAAAGTGATCAAATTAAGTAGAAACTGTGGCAGTGAAATCCTAATCCTCCTAAAGAAGACTGTTTCTAGCCTTTAATGAGTGCTTTTTTGTTGTTGACATTTGTTATGGTGCTGCTAACAGATTATTAGAGTAAAGAAACATCTGATTATTTTTTATTTAATGTTTTGTACCTATCTTGTGTGCAATCTGGCATTCAGCAGAGTTAATGTCTTATTTTTTCAACTGTTACCCAGACAAAGGTCTTCGGTGTGCCCTTGGAGAGCTTGCCATACTATAATATGGAATGTGGGAGTGTGCCAAGGTGAGTAGACATGCTATTTCTTTCCGTTGAGCTGACATTTGACAAGTTATTTCTTGTCCTGTCTTGAACGTTTTGTACTAATGATATTTCGCTGCCCTCTTAGTTTTCTTGTAGACGCGTGTATGAAGCTGCTAGCACACGTCGACACAGAAGGCCTGTTCAGGAAATCGGGCTCCGTCGTTCGCCTGAAAGCACTCAGGGTGAGTGATGGCTGAAGTTGACCTTGCTTTCACTGAGGGACCTTGACGCGAGGAACTGTTTAACACAACAGGGCTGTGTTTTGTCTGTGCAGGCAAAACTGGATTTGGGTGAGGAGTGCCTGTCCACTGCTCTTCCCTGCGATGTGGCGGGTTTAGTGAAGCAGTTCTTCAGGGAGCTGCCGGAGCCTGTGCTCCTTACAGATCTGCAGGAAGCCTTTCTCAAGGCCCAGCAGCTCCCCACCGAGGAGGAGAGAACCTCTGCCACCATGCTGCTGTCTTGTGTGTTGCCTGACAAAAACCTCTCTGTCCTGCGTTACTTTTTCGACTTCCTCTACAATGTGTCTCAAAGGTGAGAGAACCTGTAGTTGGATTACTTTATTTTTTACATATTTTGCTTGGATTACTTACAAACATCAATCTACCATCATAGATGTTCTAATGCTTCTTTGTACTATTTATGACAGCACAGTTTAAGATTTACATGACGGTGTCTTTCTCTTTCCTTACTTAATTACAGGAGTGCAGAGAATAAGATGGACAGCAATAACTTGTCTGTAATCTTGGCCCCCAACCTCCTTCATTCTGGCGATGGTACCGAGAAGATGAACGCAAACACTGAGAAACGCCTCAAACTACAGGCAGCCATAGTACACTGCTTCATAGAGAATGCCCACAGCTTTGGTATGACTTGAAGCATCTTATCTCCACTTTATTTGTGTGTCACTGTGGTTTTGTAGCACTAAATATTTCACTGCCTCTGTGTGTCACAGGTGTGTTACCGCAGTTTCTTCTAGAGAAAGTTCCAGCCATGATGGGTTGTGAATCTCCTACTCACCATGAACTGGAAGAGCTGGACTTAAACTCTGGGATGAAGAGAAAACCCAGGCGCAGCCTTGGAGGTAAGACCACATCATCCAAGATGAATAATTTAGTGAAAGCTGCAATATACAAATATACAAATGAGATATACTGAACTGGTCGAACAAGGTCAATTTTCACTGGTTGTAATCACACTGAAATATTTATTAACATCAGAAAAACGTGCAAATATAGCGGATCACTGTGTTGCAGTGACCATAAATAAATCATTTTATTTTGAAGTTCTTTAATAAGTAAATCCTGTTCATTTAGTTTGATTTGTTCATATTTCAGATATGGTCAATGGTGCACTGAATAAGCTAAAAACTAATAGAACACCTACAAATGTCACCCAGGCAGACAGTCTTGGTATGTACTGTGGTCAGATGAGATGATGCTGCGTGTCATGTAGCTTGAGAAAGTAATCTCTGCTCTGCACATAAACAGGCTTTCTATTCTTCAAGCAGAAATCAAACTCTTCATTTCACTTCATACTTAATCTTCCGGTGCGCTTGAGAAGAAAATCAATTTGCATTCGCCTTCATAGTAAATGTGTCACTTGTGAAGTAATGCCTGCCTTGTATGTTCTTTGCCTGTCTGCCTGTCTGTTGCATGGATCATCTACAAATTTCAGCAAAATCTGCTCATTTCTCAGTGCTTTGGTTCAAAATCAAATTTGGAATGTTTGCAAATATAACAGAGCAAATCCTACACGTGTAAAATCAATGCCTCTTTTGTGATTTTGCCAGTCTTTTCCTCTGCAACTCCTGTGATTGCAACACCATCCTCCAAGCGAAAGCTTCCTGTGGAATCTGGTCATTCGTTTGGATTTTCAAACAAGAAACGTAGATCTGTGAAAAAGAACCTTGGGATAGAATTGCTTCCCAATATTTTGTTCAGCGGGACCTCCACTCCTGGATCAGGTATTAACGAATGATTGATGAAGCCGCCTGTCGTGCTATATCGAAGGCTTGTGATGAAGTTTACATCTTTTCTGCTTTTCTATTCTAGCTTACAGCGCCTCTGGGGTCTTGGACACATCCCAGAATATCCTGTCATCAGCAGGGAGGTCTAGAAGACAATCAGCTACCTCTGCAAGGAGAAAGAGCCGAAGACTTAGCAACAGACACGCTGTCAACAGGTACATATTCAAAAATCAGTGTTTTTCTTACTAAGGAGATGACAGGAGTGTTGTCACATAGAAATGATACTTAATGTAAGGTGCAGTAACTGATGGTACATGCACTAGGTAAAGGAGAATTACGATAAAGTGATATCATAAAATGTTCACTCATGTATTTCCCACTTGTCCTGCATTTAGGTTTAAAATCCTCAGTTAAGGCCAGACAGTAGTTTGTAAAACAGCAACCTTCAAGCTGATGCCTTTTCTGGCTTGTCTTTCTAAAGTTGTTTGAATTCTTGTCCTTTTCAGAGTTGAATCTGGAAAAGCTGGTTGCTTTTCTCCTAAAACCAGCAAAAAAGAAGCACCGCGCAAGTCTCTGCGCCTGCGTTTCAGCCTGGGGAAGAGCAGCAAAGACGCTGTAAGTGTGGTTGCCCGATAGAATTCAACCACTTGTCTGGTTTCACTGAGCAGTGAAAGATGGGTTTAATCAAGTGCATTCAGGCTTACGCTCTGATTAACTGCATTAAAATAAAATAATATGTTTGCACACAGAGTGTGATGCGGGGTAAACTGGTGCACAGCAGCACTTTTTTGTTAAATAACACTCAAAGTTCACGTTGTCACTAACAGAATGACACTAATGCATGCAGGTTTAGAGAAAGTCTAAACTGCTTTCAGCACGTTTACATTTTGTAACGTTACAAAATAAAATGTGTTCATGGTACAAAGCTGTAGGATATTTCCTGTGCACAGTTTTCAGTGATTTATTGTACTAAGAACTCAGGTGAAAGAACGTTGGTGTAAAACTGTAAAGTATAGATAAAATATACTGTAACCTGTCTTTGGGTACATTTGGCTAAACTGTCGAAGTTACATAACTTTCTAATGCTCCACAGTTACATGTATATTCTTGACTTAATAAAAAAAAATGTGTTAAACAAAATCAGTATCTTGTTTCTTCTGAGTGATTTTCATCATCCTCTGAAGAACTAACCACAAAAGTCATGGGATTAACACATTAATGTTTTGGGTGATTTCTATGGGGCCCTTTTTAACATAATACTACTCTAAAGCCTAATCCTCCTCGAAGGTTCTTTCATCTTTCATTTCTCATTTCATTCTGGTGATAAAGGGATCTGAGTCCATTGGCTGGCGACTTGCCACGCAGGAGAGCACAACCAGCTTCCGTTTCACCAAAGAGACAGAGTTCAGTCCAACAGTTCTGCCTAGAAAAACCGAATCCACGAGTGAGTACCAAATAACTGAACTGTACACTCACTGTCTGCTAGTACCATTATTACTACTGTAGTGAAATGTTGCAATGTCGAATTATAATACGTACTAACATTCCTCTTACATTTTAAGGCTCGAAGTACATTAGTAAGTCTGAAGACAACTTGCTGACACCACAATGTGACTTAAGTGCCCACCGGACCTCCTGGAGTGGGGAGACCCCTGTAGGAGCCCAGGCTTTCAGCGGAGAGTCTTTCACAGACACCCCCATGAACATGTGCCTCAAGAGCAACTACGTGTCTGAGCCTACCATCGTCATATCCAAGCCTCCAGCAGTGAGCAGCCTTCCGCTGAAGCTGTGCTGTGCTTCCAGCGCAGAGAGCCTTGAGAGCGAGCGCTCCATCAATGAAGCCCAGACACAAACCGGCCCCACCCTGCTGAGAATCAAGAAGGCCTTCACAGAGTCGGGCAGTGACCTCCAGGCAGTCGTACAGGACTCCTGCAGCTCCACGGAAGCAAATATAACAAAACCGTCAGACAGCATCCCAGTGGTTCCACCGGAGAGTCCACCTGTCACAGTTCTGTCTGTGGACGCTGAAGCCTCCCGATTCCCAGCTCAGCAGAGCCTTCTGCCTAATGAACAGAACGTTACTTTTGGCCAAATTGAAATCGCAGCTTTGTCTCCTTTGCATATCGACAGTGTAGTTTTTGAGTCTGATGTATATTGTAGCCCCGTAACTAAGAACAACAAAGATTCTCTCTGTGCTGCTGCGACCAGCAGCCATCATGGCTCCATGGTGGAGCAGAGCGACACGGAGGCAGAGCAGGTGAACTGCAGCAGGCTGATCGACGCTCTGGACATTCAGAGTCCTGCTCGCTTCAAACTGGGTGTTTCCTCTGGACTGCAGTCCACTCCATACAGGCTGGGTCTTGAACACAGAGATGAGCTTTGTACACCTGAGGTCAGCACGGTACATGAGACTGAAGCAGAGACTGGTACTAAAGTCCAAAACCAACATCCTCTCTCACCACACAGACAGGAGACTGAAAAGCGCCGGGTGGCAGATCACATTCAACACTTCAACAAGCTCACCCTTAATTCTCCCCGAGGCTCCAGGAGCCAACACATCAGGTCACCGCTCAAGTTCCAGCGCACCCCTGTGCGGCAGGCTGTCCGCAGGATTAACTCTGTCCTGGGGGACAGCAGGAGACCCACTAGAAACACAGAGTTCCCCAAAAACCAGAGTCAGGTGGCGAAGGCTGTGAGTCTAGAGAGCGGCCTGTCCCCTCACCCTCATCAGAGAGAGCCACAAGTTGGACTGTCCAGCAGCAGGTGCCCCATGAAGAAACCACCGCCCGTCCCGCCAAAAAAGCCAAGCACCTTGGCCCGTAAAGCCAAGGCCTGCGCTCTGGGCGACGTGACCAACAAGGCCCAACCAAAGATCAAAGTGGACTGTTCTGTCTCTGAAACGTCAGGAGCTCAGAAAGCTCTCATACAGCAGGTAGCAGAGAAGGAGATGAACCATTACAGAGGGTCACCGAGAAACCCTCTGAACCAAGCACGACTGCTGTCTGCTACTAAACCCGTCGATCTATAGGGAACGTTCCTTTGCCTTTCGTTTTTCCTCTTGCTATGCAGTTCTCTGTCTGGTAAGATTACATGACATAAAACATTCCAACTTGTATCATCCATAATTTCAGGGTCTTAATTTATTTTTAACCATGGTAGGTGCTGTTTTAGGATCTTATTGGGAGATGCTCACATGCCTTATATTTGTTTTACTTTAGTAAAACAAGGTTAGAAGTTAGATATGGACACACATCAGCCTATAAGATAATAGTAAGTAGTGTTTAGGTTGTAGCCTGCAGGCAAAATGATGTAAAATGTGATTGATGGTATGACTGGACGTGTTTTGATCGAGAGTTTCGCTTTTATTTATGCATTTTATAGCTAATCCATAAGTAGATGTGTAGGGAAAAAAAACTTGACTGAAGTGAAAGTTTAAGCTGTTTTTCTTTTTTGTATTGCAAAATATTTTCTTACTGTCTTGTGTCAGGAGCAGGAAGGAGAAGAACATGCACCTTTTGTTGGATTTTATGAGAAAAAAAAAAAAGCCAAACAGTATTGATTAAATCATCTGTCTATTGCAGTCCAGTACCTTCCAAACTTTCAACCAGAAAAAAAAGTGATTTGCTGTATGAACTGCTTCAGACAAATAAAATCAAACAGCATATGTAGAAATGTTTCTGTGGTTGAATTCTTCTGTGTGGAGGAGACATGATTGGTGCTCGGTGACGCCACAAGGGGGAGTCCTGTAGTTACTTCTGACATGTTGAGTGACTCGGGCTCCTGTTCTCTCAGGTCTCAGGAGGTTCCACTGACTTGTTGCAGCTTCATCCAGGTACAATGTTTGCATGACCTGCTCTTGAGAGATGCATCCAGGTTGCACGTTTATGAAGATGTAATCTGCTTTTACTTGTAAAGAATCTCCCAGTGACGAGTTAAAGGTCAAAATCACTCTTGTGGATTTATTCTCTTCAACCCATTGGGAAGCTTGTGTGCATTTCATGTGTAACAGAAGAGATTTGGACGAAGCCTCAAGTTGAAACCTCAGTGATGGAGGTTCACAGTTTGTTTTTCTGAGGTTTATTCCATCACATTAGGACACGTTATGACCCATAAATACTGCACACTTGGACACTTGGGCTCGTGGGTTCAGTGATGAGAAAACATTTTCATCCTCCTGAGAAGTCACCCTTTAAGTTCTAATGGCTTTATTTATAGTCAATAAGTCACTCACTAATGCCTTATAAATCAGTTTCAAGCCATTAAGAAGAACATTAGAGTTGCCAGGTTGTGGTAAAAAAAGAAGAAATCCCTCCAGCTGGTGTTCATTCTGCTTTAATTATGTTTATATTTAAATAGTTATTTAGCTCATCAAGTAATGGATCATTAAACTTGTGGAAAAACCAGAACTAAAACCAATTTATCAACTGAAACACCATCAGCCAGGGGGGATATTTCACAATCTGGCAACCTAAAATTTGCTCCTAATACTGGCTTGGACTCACTTATTTATTTTTTAAGGCAAGACTTTAATAAATGGTATATTAAACATTCGCAGAGCCACCAGTTTACCGCGGAGCTCATAAAAACGTCGTTAAAACCATAAAATAAGATTATGAGTAGCTTGTATTATTATTTGTGACATTTTGGAACGCGTAAATAAACACACATTGGTGCACTTAAACCAGCGAGCTGCATTCTTCCAGTATTAGGCTATTTGTCGGTGCATTGGGTTTCTAAGCAGATATTAATTTGGAAATCAAGGGAAGTTTTGCAGGTTTAAAGTCTTTTTTCTCAGCCTTCTGTAATCAGTGACGCTTGGAGAATTGTGAAAGAATGATGAATGTTCAGATCCAAAACAAAACATCAATGGCTCCATTTGGGTTTACAGGTGTGCTGCGTTGGGATAGTTCACTCTGAAAGTGTGTGAGGAGCTCTACTCCTTTCACTTCTAGTTTTAGGATATGTGTTATCGTCTTACTTTTTCCATGTGCGCACGATCTTCAGGTCTGGACACCCTCAGCTCTCCTCCTCCTCCTCCTCCTCCTCCTCTCCGCCTGCCCTCGCTGTTCCTCGGTTGTCTGTTTTCTTGAAGTGGGTTCAGGGAAGTGTTGAGGGGGCGGATAGTCTTGATTTTCTCTTCATCGTGCTTAGCCAATAACTGTTGTGCACATCTCAGCTGGCAGACATTTAAAAGGGAGACAGTCCGGCGCTGGAGCAATTTGTATTAAACCCCCTCTGGCCCCTGTCTATGGAGCGGTTAGTCTCCCACCCATCCCCAGTCCCACTCGTGTACAGCCGACAGCAGTAGGTGTCTATCACCTCGGAAGGTGCCGCGCACGACTGACAGGATCACATCATCGCACTCGGAGCATTGGAGACTCGCGCAGGTGAGTGAATTTGGACTATTTCTGATCTAAAAGTGTCGTCTTGTGCCTCTTGTTGCGCAAATTTCGTGTTTATGGCTTATAAAAAGTGCAAAACTGCAGCCTTGTAATCTACACACCGACCGTTTAAACATAAAATTACACTGTATGCTTCACTTTGACTAAATCTGGCAGCGTTCCTTTGGATTACGGGTAAAATATACATCATTCTTAGTCATTTATTTGGATTTGAGTCATCCAAATGCAGTATTGTTTTTGCACTTCAGTCTCCTTCTGACGTGGTTTCAGCAAAAGAAGAAAGAAAGAAAAGCTTCTATCTGTGCGCTTTTACGCAGCGTAAAAGCTTTGACAGCTGTGCGTAACCCGTCCAGAGTTGAAACGCACTAGGTGATGAATTGTTTTCTCCTTCTCCCTCAGGATGGCCAACTCGACGCGTATCTTCTGCAGTATGGTTTTCATCATTGGGCTGCTATCCTCTCCTGTGGATTCAAAAAGAAACCGAGGTTCACAAGGGGCCATTCCTCATCCTGACAAAAACAACCCAAACGAATCGGAGCAGCAACCGCAGCCTCCGCAGGCGGGCTCCGGCTCCCGGCAGAGGCCCGGCGCATCCTCGCCGGCCGACGAGGTGCTGGAGTCCAGCCAGGAAGCTTTACATGTGACGGAGCGCCAGTATTTGAAACGGGACTGGTGCAAGACGCAGCCTCTCAAACAGACAATCCACGAGGAGGGCTGCGTCAGCCGCACCATCATCAACCGCTTCTGCTACGGACAGTGCAACTCCTTCTACATCCCCCGGCACATCCGCAGGGAGGAGGGAGCCTTCCAGTCCTGTTCGTTTTGCAAGCCCAAGCGTTTTACCACCATGACTTTTACTTTGAACTGTCCGGACCAGCAGCCACCCACCAAGAAGAAACGCATCCAGCGCGTCAAACAGTGTCGCTGCATATCCATAGACCTGGACTAAACACACAGCAGTTATGTGTGTGTATGTGTGTGTGTCATATTGTAATTCTTGAGGAGAGGATTGGTGGTAGGAAAAAAAGAAAAGGTGTTTTTTGACTGTCACACAGCCAAGAGCACGTGTCTTTCTCCATCTGGAGATGCGCACCCTATGACGACATTCTCTTCTTGCACAGTGTGTGAGCAAATATGGACAACTTATTAAAACCGACTCTGAACAGCGACATTTTTTTTTTTACTCCGCACCAGTTTCTAAACAAGCATCACTGCACGGAAACGCTGACTTGGAATGGGCACGTTTTACGCACGGCTTCCTCACCCCGATAGGACTGCATAACCCGGGTTTTTATTTAATAACTCACCGCTTCAAACACTCGCTGTGGCAGAGAAACACTTCTGTCCAATCCTGTATTTTACGTGTTTATATATAAATACATGTTTCTTGAATTGGATGTTTCCACTGTGTGGAATGTGATGGATGAATGGCTTTATTTGTAAATGAACAAAAAATGTGATTTTTATTTCGATATTTCAAGAATCTTTCAAGGTTAACCGAATTGATTTCTGTGAATTTCGAAGTCCATCAGTATTTTTTTTTTCTAAGTAGGGAGCCTCCTGAAATATAAAGACAAGAGGCTTCTTTGGTAGTTTGGATCATGTACAGTGGTGGTTTCTACAGTGACGAGATTAAATAGTTGTAAAATGTAAAGCCATCGTTGATGTAACCGGTTTGTTTATTCCTTTGATTAAATTATCCACGAAAACTAAATAAACGGATGCTGGAATATTGTGCATATTATTATTATTATTTTGCAGGAAAATGTATGAAACAAAATGCTAAATTGCGCATTTATCATCTGCACGATGCACGAGTTTTCCGCACCCAGACTTGGAATAAATTTTAAAGAAGTCAGTTTATCTAGACAATGTGCAATTACCTCATGAAAGGATGTAATTTAAATTCTCTACATTTGGCTAAAAGGGTCGCAAACCTGTGGGAGAACTGGATAGATGTTGTGTTCAAGTGCGTTGGATGATGGAGTTTTTGCGCAAACAGAACAGCACCAATCCAACCAAATATGTTCAATGAATAACTGGCAAATAAAGGAAAGTTTTTTTTTCCTTACTAAGAAAGTGCTTTAAACTTTAGCCTCAATGTAAAATATTGCCTTTATAAGATAAATTCTAAGTCAGAATTTGGTTTGGTTTTTGTGAGCCACAGCCTCCAATCAGCAGCCAGAAGGTCCAAAAATGTAAATTTTGATCAGTTAGTTGGTAGTTTATTGATCCTTGTTTGGTCAGCATGCTCTGCACTATTCAACACAACTGAAACTGAGTTTTAAAATCACTGTAAAGATGTAAAATTAGACCAAAAAATGTCCATCTTAAGGCACAGAATGACTTTTTTTGGGCATTCAGCAAATAGCTTAAACAGCAAAATGTCAATCTCATCCACTTTCACTCTTTAAAACTGTTAAAACAATGCCATGACAAATTTCTCCTCTGATTTTTGTTTTAGTTTTTATTCCAGTAACAAGATTTAATGTCATAAAAACAAGACTGGACTGAAGGATTGACTCCTGACTCATCGTTTATTGAACAGTCGAGCTGAATTATGAATCATCGGATCCTTTCAGTGACTCAGGTTTACTACATAAATATCACATTTTCTTGGCTTAACGGACGTGTCGACAGCAGAAAAACTGAGAGAAAACTGGTTTAACACATCTTTCAAAGTGCAAGTTTTCATCCAAAAAAATAAGTCCGGCTGTTTGCGGCATCCAGTAGTTTATTCTTGAAATTTAAAACAATTCCATAAAATTTTACAGAGCACCTAAATGAGAGCTACTGAAGGTTACAGGAACACAGTAGAGGCTACAACAATAACTTGGTCAGTATCAGCTCATTTCTTTTTTGTTGTTTTTCAAACCCTCTGGAGTTAAAATATAGCAGTTTAAAGTTCTGAAATATCTTGATTTTTGTACAAAATAAATGGCACAGGTGAAGGAGGGTAAAAAAAAAAAGGAATCCAAGGTGCAGTTTGATGGATAATCTGATCATGGAAGTCTGTCTGAGGTATAGCAACTCGCACGGCTCGAGGTGATAAATGTTCTCAACAACAACTCTCATCGCTCCAGAACTAAAACAGAAAAAGGCAACCGTCTGCATTCACGTAATAACTGTTTATCCGCACAACATACAAGATGCATCCACGTGAAAAAATATCTTTCATCGAGCAGCTTCTCCTTCACTTAAAAAAATACAGCCACAAAGGGAACAAAGCTGATGTCTTGTTTTTTTTTGGCATTAAATAACTCTTTCCTTACATAAATAGACTTTTCTCCAACGTGACAGGAGCGCGGTTACATCGGTGAAAATAAAGCGTGATCTCAACACGTTTCATCAAAAAAAATCATGAAGCAATACAATTTATATATCTTAGAACAACAAAACCAAACTCTTGCATAGGAAAAGAAGTGCAAAAATGTGCAAGACAGCAGAAACAAAATGCACGCAGTTAGCATAACGAGGAGTGCGGTTTATAGCGTGCTACGGCTACTGCAAGCGGGAAAGTGCTTCAGACTGTGCTGGACACACGGTGACGTACAGCACGCAACGAGGGACTATTTTTTCGTAAATCGTAGGTAAGTGAGTGTAAAACCCGTCGTGTTCTTCTGATGTTTCTAAGCACGACTCTGTGTAAGTGCGGGGGCCGAGGCTTCGGGCCAGACTGGCTGCCAGCTTCGTCTCTCCTCTGGCCGTCACCCAGGAGAGGTCAGTCTGGTGCAGTGCAACACGGCGAAACCTCCACACACACACACTCGCTTCTTTTTCTTACACACAACCGTTTACACACAACATGTCTTCATCTGCACTTGAAGCCCAGATCATTTATCATATTCCTCAGAGCTGCACAGTCCCTGCCGATTCTACAGCATGACATATTTACAAGACTTTTTAATGAGCCATGGTGAATGAAAAGCTACTCGCTACAGCAAAGGACACTGGGAGCTGCTCTCTTACCGCTTTGAGAGAGAGATCTGTTTTGTCAACAGGGATTTTCCTCTCAGCAGACATCGCCAGGAAGCCGTATCTGTTTGTACAACAATGTGAGAACACTTTAGACTATGCTAAGTTTACTTTTTTTTCTTTAATACATATGCTGCCTGATACAGTTCAGAAATAAAATCAGCTTCTAAAGATCCAGGAAGAACCTTGTGGATGTGTCAGCTGGTCTGCTGCGAATCCCCGCTGAACCCTGGAGACCTTTCACAAGCTGGGCACTCAGAGGTCACGCCATGCTGGATGAATGAGGTCAACCTTTGGCCTTTCAGACTCCCATCACTTCGGCTGTGTCAGCCATGCATCCTCGCTGCGGGGGTCGGACCGAAAAGCCTCGACGTGGAGGTGGTGGAGTGTAGGGGATGGGCGGGGGGTGGGGGCGGGGGCGTCCAGTGCTGTTAGTAGGGCAGAGATACGGCAGTGGGAGTAGTAAGAGTCCGGTGAGGTTTTTTATTGTGAGTCCGTACGGGGGCGCAGAGGGAAGTCCAGCGTTGCCGAGGCAGGTGGTGAACGCTTCGTCCGCCGGTCCTCATTTGTTCTTCTGCTCCGTCACTCTCCCTCAGCTGGAGGACACGCTGGCTTCCTTCTGCCGCAGCCTCTCCTTCTGTAGAGCGACATGCACAAAAAGAGATTTAGCGTATTGATTTGGCAAGAAAGAGCAGCACGCAGGAAATGCCGTTTATTTATATACTGTAGATCAGTTCTTACCAGACTGTTGGCATTGATCTTCTTGGTCTCGACTCTCTTCTCCGCTGTCATCTTCTTGATGCTTTCTTGAGCTTCCTTCAACCTATGACAGAAAGAAACACAGACCTTGATGTTAGCAACACTGAAAACTCTGGAAATAAATCCTAAAAATGTGGTAAAGCCTCTCATGGTGGTGTTAAGCTGCCTGGAAGAGGAAGATGATGGAAGATCCGCTTCATGACTGTTGAGCAGAAACGACATCACAAACGCTCCACGCAGGCTGAAAGCAGCAACTCTGCAGAACTGAAGGAACACAAAGACGTCCAGCTGTGTGCCTTGTTGTTTCATGTTTTAAATAAAAAAATGCATGTGTGGTTGTAGTTGTAGAGGTGTATGTATGAAGTACGGGTGCATGTTTGTGATTTAAAATGAGATATTATTAGATTATCTGCATTATTTTAAATTCTGCTTTTATTCAGCTGCTAACTGTGAGATGTTCAACTCACACACACAAGCAGTCGGATCCTCTCAGGACTTTTGCGGTCAGTGAAAGCCCCTTAAGTGATAAGCAGCAGAAAAAGGACAGTGGGCTGATGAGATAATGAGGCAGCCTTTAAAAAACACTTGGCTTTTATGAGAGCGCAAACAGTATTTAAAATAAAGTTAATTGTACATAAGCACAATCAGCTGTGAGCAACGCGAAGCACAATTACCTAGTAAACAACTAAAGGAGAGCACATGGATCCGCGGCGAGTCTGTGAAATCTTTAACTCCTCCGTCTCTCAGCTTGGAGAGCAGGACGTTCAAGAGGAGATCTATTGGCAAACTGGACCGTCCTGACGGCGACAGCTCTCTGCTTCATCCTCAGAGCCGCACATCGTCTCCACTCAGGCGTCTGTCCTGCATGTCCGCCATCATTACAGCGTTTATCAGCTCTCCCGTAACGCCTTTTAGCGGCTGCAGTTCCCTGTCCGCTCGCCAGTAAAGCCAGGCGGCCGCCAGGAGGGTCTGCAGGCCCTCGGTGGAATGCCCCCCCAACATGACGCCTCAGGTCAGAGGAAACATCATAAATTTAGGCCCCAGTCCTTCAGACGCAGGGCCGAGGCCTCAGCTACTCCCGTTCGCCTCCTCTTTGATGGCCTCCCTCTTCGCTATAATTACAGCCCAGCATCTGCACATCACCCTCGAACAATTAGCGCTAATTTGACACGATGTCCAGAGGTGTTAAGCACCGATCCAAAACAAGAAGTCTGCTCTGGAATGGGTAAGCTGCATGTGTGCAGTTCTGCATTCACTGCTGCAGAATTAGTAGCACACAGGGGCATCAACAGCCGTAGGGAGCACGACAGATAAATATATATAAAACAAGAACAGTCAAAGTCTCCACAGCAGAGGCCAAGATATCCTGATGTTTAGTCTCTAGTATAGGGCCAAGCATTCCCTTCCCCATCTTTCTTCTTTTTGTTGAAAAAGTCACGAATCTGTGATAACAACAATCATACCAGAATCCCCCTCACCTCTCCTTAGAGATGCTCTTGCTTTGCCGTATCCAGGTGTTCTTGAAGTCGTTGCAGAACTCGTACCAGAGCATAAAGACGTGACTCGGAGCCACTTCTTTCTCCCCGGACTTTGGCTTCACACCAAAGTAGCTCACCATGTCCTGGAAACTGTAGGGGGAAAAACAGAGCCCAGGTTCAAATAGTGTTGTCTTATCGCACATAAACACCTATAAATATTAGCAGACGTGGATAAAACTGTGTTTTGCTCAAGAGTTTAAACATCAAAAAGGACGAGGAAGCTAAGGTGTGCACATCCAGGAAGTGCAGATAGACGCAGGGGGAAAAAAAACTGCCGGATTTTAGACGCAGTGCACGCAGAGAAATTGATGGATGAGGAGGGAGACGGAGAGGCGAGAAACAGAGCTGGAGGGAGAGCGTCCACCCTGCTGGGCCACAGGGGAGAGCCAGTAGCGGCGGCTCCATTATCGCATTGACCTCCACAGCCTGCAGGGGAAGACTGCCAGAGGAGACGGAGACGGCCAAGAACAGGCAGCTGCTCCTCCAAACACACCATCACACACACACCAACACACACACACACACACACCTCCAAGAACATGCTCACTGGCAGCCAATCAAAGATGGGATAAGATAGGTGCACACGTACAAACACGACGAAGACGAACCAGATCTATGTGAATAAATAGAAGCAGGATTTTCCGTCCACTGCGGCGCTGTTGTAGACCAGCTCCTCAGCTTAATTCAATTGTAACCAAATCTGAACTCTTCACAAGGCTCTCAGCAGCACACACAAGGCATGAAAAGCAGCCCGCTGCTTCAGATTCCCGTCTCTCGACCAAACATGAAAGACATTTTCTAGCTGTGCCTGTCAAAGGCTTGATAAAAGGCGGCCATGATTCAAGGGATGCTCTCTGTCCCATTGACACCCAGATCGGCTCTGACCTCCAGATGCTAGGTGGCTTTTTGCAACACTAATCTAAGACATGTTCATGTGGAGGGAAACGGTGCAATATGCTGCCCAGACGGCCGGCTAAGGGTTTAAAAAAAAAAGGAGTTTCTGCGCGAGCCTGCTTCCCATTTCCCAGTGATGCGTCATTTTGCTGGGATGCTGAAAACAGGAGAGCGCTGTAGATCATTCTGTACGGAAGGAGCCAGAAGAACGAGGCTCTGAGATGTTTAGATCGAGCAAACAGACGTTGAGCTCCCAGGTAGCTTTGCTGCAGCCCGGTCTGGTCTGGCATGACGAACAGGGTCTCCATCGGCTCCTCGCCTGACCCCGGGTCATCATGTCAGAGCTCTGCACAAATCTTTTCCTTTTAGCCTCGCGAGCGCATGAAACAAGCCGATACACAAAGCTCCACTCGAAACAGATGTAAACAGGCTCACACGTACCTACGAAACGTAAACAAAATCAAGCAGACCTTTGTTCATTTGCGCACACCGTCGGCTGCACTTCAGCAATCTATTGCTGCGATGCCGTTGCCGTGAGAGGGTTTACTGCAGCGCCCACAGCCGGCATTCCTCACTGACAGCTATAAAAAAAGACCCATTACAAAACCATGAACAGCCGTGAGAATCAGGGAAATATTTGGACAGGCAACTATGCATTCCTTTGTTTCCCCAGTAAAAAGATTACAGAAGTAACCTCCGTGTTGTTGGCTGATTCAGCAGAGGCACAAAGCGTCATGTAACGCAGGCAGAATCGTACACCAGCTCGCGCACCGACAAAACCAGAACGGCGCGGTGACTGCAGGGAAGGCACTAGGCCCAAATGAAATTGAGCATGATGGGGAAGAAGGAAACTTAATGAGACGGAACTGAGGACAGAACCAGAAAACCTCAGTGGAGCCCAAACAAGAAGCAGACAAATTAGGACGGCATGTTGAGGAGAAGGCCTCGCCATGGAGGGGCCTTGGATCACATTTTAAAAAGAAATAATAACAAAATAACAGGGCACGGCCTTGATAGAGACGTGACTCCCATTAAGTTGACTTTGGTGTTCTTTAATTAAGCTGAAAATCCCAGAAAACCCTTTTCTCTCAATCAGCATGTTACGATGAGAGACGGGTTCCTGCACGAGCGTGAAGTTCTGCTGAAGTTAGAACAGCTTCAGTTGTTTCACACAACCGTTTCTTTCTTTCTTTTCTTGCCACTCTCACTTGTTTGAAGAGGGCAGAGCTGATAGAGTAGAATAGAACGCTTTTATTGTCATCACACACAAATAAATGAAATTAAAGACAACGTCAGTGGTGCAAAATACAAATTTAAAAAAGACAAATAAGAATTTATAAATATATTTACAAAAGGAGCCAGTAGGAAGTTTATAGAGTTAGAAATAAGCATGGTAACGGTAGAATAAATATATATATACTGTTGAGGTAAGAACACTGTGGATATATGAGAAATATTAATAATCTAAATAAAAAAATAAAAATAATATCTAATAAAATATAATATAATAATTAAAAATAATTACAATATAATTAATTTATAATTACTAATTTGCACAAATCAGAGTTTAACATTAAAAAAAAATCTTAAAATTTAAAATAAAAGCATAAAATATGATGTTATCAGTTTGTTTAGTTAGTTTATATATATTTATATATTATCACTATGAAGCAGCTCAGCACAGTTTTGACATATTCATATTCTAATATTGAATAAAGTCAGAATATTTAATTTGACAGACTTCTAATTTCCCCCTCTGAAGTGTTTCAACTTGTAGTGGTAACGTATTGTGATCTGTTTCTTCAGTGAAAATTTCTGAAAAAAAATGCTCGGCTATAAATCAAAACGACTGGTTTTATGTGTCTGTGTAAAGCTTGGCAGTTGTTTTTGTAAAAGGTGTGAAACGTTCATTATCCTTTTCTTTTCTTTCTTTCTTTTTTTAAATCCATCATCTCTGAGTTTAATTGTTCATGTTTGGTTTGTTGCTTTTCAATTACATTTTTTGTTTTATTTTTATTTTCTAATGTAACTGTGCGACTGGGTCCACGGCTGTAAACTCCTCCAGGTAGTAAATGGTACAGTCAGACTTTTAAAAAAAAAAGAAGGAAAAAAAAAAAGTTATTTATTTATTTATTGTACAAAGATTAAATTCTAAAGCATAAAACCCAAACATGAACAATTTTTTAAAAATGTGACAAACAACAGACAATTATCCATTTGTAAAGTAAATTTTAAAAGAGGATAATGAAAGTTTCCAACCCATTCATCATTTCATTCATTTTGATGGTAGTTACAAGGATTACTTTTAAATTTTAGTTTTACATGTGACTGGTCAGACATAACACCAAACGATAAAAGACTGTTAACATCAAGTAGATTAAACTGTAAATCTTTTGTGACATTTCCCATATACCTTTCATACATAGATATCGCTTTAAATTAAAATAATTTAAAATATCAAACAAATACGGGAGTCAAATTCATTTTATTTAACCCAACATCAAAATCTAAATGTTACCCTCTCATCAGGTGCAGCTTTCAGGACTTGATTGTAGAACTGAAACAACTAATTGTTAATATGGAATCAGTCAGCATTAAACAATGGAATATTGGTTCATGTAATTTTCAAGTTACATTTTTATATGGAGAGAAATTTTCTATCTTTGGGTTCATAGTGTTGGTCAGCAAAATCTAAAGAGTCTACTAAAAATAATTGTCACATTAACAAATAAAATAATTAACTGTAGTCCAATTGTAGAGTTTTGAAGTATGATACAAACACGTTTAGTTTGAAATTCTTGTTAACATCCTTCGACACAATGAGCCTTTATTGATCCCACAGTGGGGCTTTCTGACTCCCACTCACAGGCGTTTAAACTCCTCATGAGGTCGAGGTTTTAGGTCAGCGCTCGCTAAGGATGCGTCGTCTATTTCTTTTATCAACGCCGAGGCACAATCTTGCCGCCGCTTCTGCCGTCGTGCGAGGATCCCTCATCCAGCACAGATGTGAGAGCCCACCCAGGGCCCGGAGAGCCCGCTGACGCCCATATTCATCACCAGCGTGTCACTTTTACGAGGTGGCTCTGTGGGAACCTGAGAAAAGAGACCCCCGCCTCCCTCTCGCTCTACCTAGCGCCAGTCGGCCAGCCTCCCTCTTTAGATGGAATTAAAGGCAAACTTCATTAGAGGCAAAGGTGCTGTCAGCTGCGGGGCCCTTTTGATCAATATTCCCCCTCCAAGTTCAACACCTTCATTACAGTGGTGTCACTGGTGCACACGTTTCAGGCTGATAGAAACATCCCTACACGGCGAGGGCGGGACCGGAGAGGTGCAGCCATCCCTCAGCCAGCCTCTTGGCTCAACAACAGCAACATGAAACAGAACCGTTGGCTGAGTTATAGTGTTGTCCGAAGCAATCAGCTTTCTAATTGTTTATAGTTTCCATTTTCTTGCGTCCGGCGTCTTTCACTTTCTCCCTTTATGTGCTTTCATGATTTATTTTGGAAGCGGGAGAGTTTCGATATAAAGCAAACAACTCTGCTCTCTGTCCAAACAAGGCCCAAATTATCTATTTGCTTTGTTTGTCTGCTCCGCCGTCTTTTTCCAATATGAAATGTTCCAGATATGATTTTGCCCGGACGGCGCGCTCGGCGGCTGCCAGTGTGCCTCGCGCCTATAAATCAGATGCCTCTCAGGAAACTCTCGGGAGTCTTCTGTACAAAACATGGCAGATAAGAATGATATGAAGTGCAGAGGAGGAAGCACAGGGCGTCCAGGCTTTTTTATAACATATATAAATGTATGTCTGCTTCTGCTAAACATAAGGCATGCTGTTTATTTGTCTTACAAAACACCTCGAGGTTAGTAGAGGCGTCTAAAGAGCTCAGATATGTGCATATTTTTCAATTTTTCATATCCAACCACTCATATGTAGATGTTCTCATTAAGGCACTAAAATCCTGAGAATCATCTTCCTGGAACTCTTATCAGCTGCTTATAATATCTGTATACGACTTAGCGTCAGTGCAATCAGATCCCAGCTACGTTATCTATATGAAGCAAGGAAGGCAGCTGTGTGACGTCTGCACTCTATAACACTTGATAATCTAAATATTTTCGACGCAAACATGATCTTTTCATCGTCGTTTCTTGGCTCGTCGTACCTTTTCTGTGCAGCGTTGAGTCGGTCCTCTTCTGCAGAATGGTCCTTCTGAGCTGCAAAACAAAGAGAAAATCTTTAGAGTGATCAGATTATGAGGCCGAGAACCGAATGTGACTCCAGACGAGGGCGCTGTGTTCATCAGCCATCCTTGTCAGTTTCAGGGAAGAAGAAGAAGAAGAAGAAGGGCTCTGGGTTGAGATGTCACCGACACAGTGAGCGTGTTATTCAAGCCACTGTTAAGCACATTGTAAAGTTTGACATGCTTCTGTGTGTTGACGCACGAGAGCGTGAGCGTGCGACGCCTGGGCTCGGTGGTCTGCTCGAGGAGGCGCGTGTTCATGTGTGTGTGCGTGCGGACATACGTGTGCGTGTTGTAGCTGAAGCAGGGGTGCAGGGTTGAGCAGAGCGGCTTGGGAACTGGAGGCTCCTGTGGACTCCTGCCATGTAAAAGTGTCTAAATGCAAGGCAGATGTGTGCAGCGGGCCAGGCCGAGGTGCAAGAATTTATCTAGGGCCAGAGAGTGCCTGTGATCTCAGATTTATTGCATTTTTCCAGATTCATCCTTTTTACAATGATGGGGGACCTTTCCTACTTGAAGATTTAAGAGGGGGAAGTCTCCAAAAAATTGTTCAAAGGCAGGTTTGGGGGTCTTTTGGGAGAAGGTGAGCTAAAGCCTCCGACGATCAACCACCCCTTTTACTTTTACTCTTTTTTTTTTCTTTTACATGTATGTGGGCAAAGGGGGCTGAGGTAAACCTAATGAAGGGGGCGGGGAGGGGAGGTGGTGGCCATGTCTGGGATAAAGGGAGGAGGGGGGAAGAGGAGAGGGGCCGTGACCAATGGCGTTAGTCTCAGTGGGGGTCAGGCTGGCGCCTGAGGTACCCCTCTGGTGCGACTGTGCAGAGGTGGCACAGGAGCCGAGAGGCTGAGCGAGAGCGAGAGAGAGAGCGGCCCGGAGAGAGAGAGGATGTGTGAAGTTTCTCTTCCTCCGCTCCCTCTGTAAACATGAAACCACTAGTCGCTAACTAGAAAGTTATGAGACGTGCATGCTGAGAGGGACAATAAATTAGGGCTTTTAAAACTCTGACACACTTTTCCAAACCGCCGCTTTACCTTGCAGCCAGATAACAAAGAGGACGGAGAGCGGTCCAAGAGGGATGCTGAAGATTTCCATCAAACATCCCTCGTCACCGCCTCCCCGACCTCGATCCGAACACAGATGCGTCTTTCGTCAAAAACGCGTTCCTATCTGCGAACTTTACTGGGTTCTGACTCACTGACAACAAAGACGGCAAAAGGATGTGATGATGCACGTGGATTTTCCAGCGAAATGAGGCCTACACGAGCTGAGAATAAAAGCAGGAATTTGTTTTCAATTAGTCATGCTGTACATTCAACATGAAAAATATGCCAGTCAGATTATCCCCAGAGGTTTCAAAGAGCTCCTATTAAAAAAGGAAAGAGAGAGAAGTGTTTGATTAGACACCACGGTGTGATCGGGAGGATGTTTCTTAACTTTAACAGATCAGCTTCTCGATAGCAAGAGACACAAACCTTTAGAGGAAAGACACACTCCAGAAAAATCAGTGAACACGATCAGATAAACAAAAATCAGATATTTAACACAAATCAAATACAAGAGGGAAGCCAAATTCCAGAGGGCATGTGGGGCTACGATCAGAAGAAGAGCAGAAACAGGGACAGGAGCCTAACAAGAGAACCCGTCGCTGGATTTAGATGTGGGAGGGATCACACGGGGAAGTTTAAGACGGGGAGCACAGGGCGTTTGGGTTCACCTGCAAGCCCTGCTGAGAGGCTCTCCACAGGCTGCATCATGGGTCAGCGCTACCCAGAGACAAAACTAGCAGGACAAAGTCTCCTTCATTCCTCCACATTGTTCCTTGCACGTTCCTCTTAATATGTAAAATCATATGTCAGACACCTGTATCTGTAGGTCAGCTGTCTGAGCCTTTACCTGGGTGAGAAATTCCCTCATTCGCCGATGAGTCAGAGGTTTAAGAGCCTCGGCCGCTCTTTGATGTGAGAGCCGCCGCTTTGTTTTTTGGCCTTTTGAAGTCATGGAATCATCACAAACACTGATTACACACCGCTCCTGCCAAAGCACGAGTAACGGCTCGAGGAATTCTGTTTATGAAAAAAAATAAAAGGTTTACGGGTATTCCACCGGAACGTTTATGTTCAAGATGTGCCTTCGCAAGACCAGTGTCGACAAAACCAGCTCTTTAAATGCCCGGATTCTGATATCAGATCGGACTCTGCAGGCTTGTGCAGAAAATGCAAAAGCAAACACGTGCAAATGTGCAAAAAGCTTTGAATGAGCAGCTCCTGACATTCTCTGTCGTGTCCAGTGATGTGACCGAGGAGGAAACAGATCTTACTCTCTGTGGCAAGCTCGGATGCAGAGGAACGTTTGTGTATAATAAAGCTCCAATGAAACTGACTAACAGGCAGCATGGACCATCGCTGCAGTGATGAAGTGAGCCATAGCTCATAGAAATGTGTACACACTTCATATTTAAGCTCGCATCGTGCTTGTGTTTAAACTCCAACGCTTGCTCACTTCCTGCTGAAGCAATGACGGGACTTTGAATCAGATGAGGTGGGATTTGCAGCCTCTGCTTCCTTTTTTGTGTTTAATTCCAGGAGGTCTCATCCCCCTAAAGTGCCGTTTGAGAGCTTGACGAAAGGATGAAGTCAGTTGTTGGGTAGAACGTCGGGTAGTTCTGTCGGAGCTGACCGGTGTGTGGGTCAGAGAGGGGACAGAGACGATCAGAGAGCGTCGGATGGGGGAGAAGCTCTGCTCCCGTCACGGTGGTCCCCACGACTGATCCACTGAGGCCAGCCGGGCTTTACAAGGCCGCGGCCAGAGATGTCCTGCCAGCTTTATGGAAGCCGAGAGTACATGAGAACCGTGTTAGAGGCAACGTGATCCCTTCTACAGGCCTGTAGACTCCTGTCCTCATGCTGTCTTACGGCGCACCGAGACGCCCTCTCTCAGCGAGAACAAAAACACACACATGCAGCAGGAGACAGATTCTCCACCGAGCAGCTGACTGTCTGACAGAGCAAAAAAACATAATTATAACTCCCTCTTTTTTTAAAGGTCCCACGCTGTGTGGGTGAAAACGGGGCCTTTCCAGCTCTGTAAGCTCGGTTTCATGACCAACTCCTCGGCTGTAAATCCTCCGTCCAAATGGATGGTTCATCTTTGAAGATGCTCTAACAGCCTTCCAGGCAGAACTGAGGGCAAACGTCTACTTTCAGGACTTGAGTGCATCATTGTGCATGATTTGGAAGGAGTGGGAGAAAATTAAGCAACTCGTTGTCCCTCAGCTGGACTGACATTACTCTAATTACCTCAAATCAGAACTCCAGAGGTTGCACAAACATATTCAGACAAGGTGACCAGTCTCTGTAGCATCAGAGATTTACTGCACCGGGTTTAAGCAGCAATCTGTAACTTCTTCTGTTTAATTCTTTTGGCAGTTGTTTGGTGCTGAAGGATCATTAGTGTGAGAGATTTGCACTGCATTTGTCTTTCTGTGAGCCTGAAGCGTTTTGCAAGTAGGACTTAAACTAAAATCAGGTGTTATCAAAGAAAACGTTCCATCAGCTCCATAATTTAGATAACGTTTATTTACATCATCGTGATCATGAATAGCTTTATCTGTTATCTGTAAACTACTAATGGAGAACAAATGACAAGCAGTGTTTCTACATTTCTTTCTTTGTTACTGATAAAAAAAAAATCTAAGCTCGACCCACCAGCAGAAACGAATCCCTCCATCTTCTCCTTAAAGGGCTGGAGCTGCTCCTCGGTCGAGTTAGTACACACTTGCTGCACGTTCTTCTCACAAGCTGGTAAAGAGAGAGAGAAGAAAAATGAAGGGAAATGATTAATGACCCAACACACAGAAAAAAAAAAAAAAGATGTGAATGGAGGATTTAAAGCTGGAGGAATAAAGGAACCAAAAATGTTAAAAAGGTAAAAGTCACTCAGGGCTGAAATTTAAAAAACAAAAAAGAGGAACAATAATTAATAACATAAAGTAGTAGATCATACTGAGACAATGTGTGGCACTGGAAAACCCCGAGACACACTCCCCTAATTAAAGCCAAGGAGGGAGAAGAAACAGGGTTTTAAGACGAGGATTAAAAAGAACATTTCATTTAAACAGCGAGTGCTTTCAATTAAAAATCCCAAACAACAAACTACATTTTGTTCCTGGATTCGCTCATGTCAGTCGACACCATCGGCGGTTTTCACGTCACTAACGAGTTGTTTCACACGTCGCTTCTGATATCTCACTTCCAAAATTTTTGCACAAAGCGTTTGCGTTCTGCTGCGCTGCTCTACGCCGTCTGTACATGTGAGCGCAGCAGATGTGTTGTGTGCTGTTTGCGGATGGTTTTTCTTTGTCGTGCCAAATGATCCAGCTCACACGAGCTGAGAGGAAACAGCCGTGACTGAGTGTGTTCCAGCCGAACCTTTCCCCATTTCCTCTCCACTGTAAGCCTGGGTTACTATACACACACACACACACACACACAGACGCCTGGTGAAAGAACTTTGGCACAATCCTCCAACCTGTAAGTCATTAATGGCTGCAATAAATACCTTAACTTGCTTATGACTGCATAGCTAAATAGTTCTGCAACAGAACAAGAGCATTAACAGGTCTGGCCGCTGTCTCACTTCGCGGCGTCGCTGCTTTCAGATCCGACTTTGGCTCTCACGTGTTCGCATGTGGAGCTGCTGCACCTGCACCTCCGTAAACGCACTCCATTACATCTTTTATTTGTTGGATGTCTTAATAAATCGGACAGGAAACGCGACATCTGAGCATTAAAACTGAGACGTAACTATGTGCAGCCTGGATTCCGGGACACTTTTTAAATTCGTGGATGGTAAAGAGGCAGCAGCAGCAGCAGCTATCGAAATAAAAAACAGAAATCAGCAACCATACAAACATGACAACCAAAATATCCTGTTTGGACAAACCACATTTCCTTACCAGAAATCCCCCAACTCAAAAGGACCCATTAAAACAGTGTTCAAAACAGCAAGTCTACAATTTAGAGGCGGCTCTCTTCCAAATGTGGTCCAGACAGCAAAGGCCGCAAGGAGGAAGCCCACAAAAACACAGCAGCTGTAAAGAATAAAAACTAAAAGCCTGAGTTTGAGACATTGTCTTGGAGTGATAATACATTTTTTCAAAAAGGAAGGTACTCCTGCAAGCGAAGGTCTGACGCCATCAGACGGGACAGAAGAGCTCAGATCTTCTGGGCCTTTGGTTGAAGGGATTTAAAGTTTTTTTTAAAGTGTCAAAGCCTCAACAATGAAAAAAAAACAAACAGGATCAACAAAAAGGAAGACTGTGGTGTGGATTTAATATATGTTCATATCCTACATTTTTTTTTTTTTTTTTTTACAAGTCTCTGTCTGGGTGGGTTGCATAAATGTGGAAAACAAGACGTGTCCCTTTGTGCTTACTGGCCGTTATTTTGTTCCTTATTAAATTTTTGTGTGTGTTTGTGGGCAAAAGATGAGGATTAAATGAATTCCTGCCACAGGCTCAGGAACTGTGAAATCACACTGACCGTCATCAGCATCAACTTTCTCTTTTTCTAGAAACCAAAAATGGTTTATTGGTTTTTGATTATGACTGTAATTTTAGATGCTTTAGGGGGATAATTTAATGATTTGTGACTTCATTTAAATACAATCTTTGAATCACATAAAAAAGGAGCATTTTGTACGTGTTAAATGAGAAAAGTTTGAATTAAAGAAAAACATATTTAAAATAAATTAATTAAACAAGAAGCATTAATGCCTGATTTATCAAAACCTATCTGAAAGTCTCCGCTAGAGGTGACTGAACTCAAGTCTGAGGTGTCTTATTTGTCATAGTTAAGCTAAATAAAATTATTCATGTTTCGACTAATCAGACCGGAATCCGATTGCATGACAATATTTACGAGACCAATAATTAATGGAAATAATGCGGTGGCTTTTCTGTTTGTGACTCGAGCAGCAGATGATTTTCCACTTTACAACAACAACTACTACACAAGTGTGGCGACCCAGGTGGCAGAGGGCGGCTCGTTTACCACCACAGACAGACGGGATCATGATTGGAGCCACGGCTCCGATCTTTAAAGCCCTTCCAATGTTCCACTACAAAGAGGAAACAGATTCACTCAGCAGCTCCGCATCTGGGGCGCTAATGTAGTCTGTATCAAGACATTATTCAAATGACTGAACAGGGGACTGTGGTTTTGTGCATGACTGTAAGTCGTTTATAAAACCAGCTTCCTGATGAACATGAAACGATTGGTTAACAAGTATTTTATTGACTGCGTTAAAGCAGTTGAACCAGAGGAAATCTGAATTTAGCCTTAAAGAGTGTTCAGACTTCAGAGCCAGGAGTCCAGTAATACACACTGAGCGAACCAAACGATATCCTGAGGCGCACAAACAACGCTTACAAACATGCATCCGTAAAAAGACACTGCTGAGTTCATCATATCTGAGCGGGAGAGAGTCAAACTGTTGCATAATGTGAGGTAACATGTCAACAGCTGTGGGTGAAGGGGGGCTGTGGCGGCGGCGGACTAAACGGGAAGAAAAACAAACAAGAAAGTCAGACTTCTTCTCCAGGATTTACCCTGTGCGGTTTGTAAAATGGGCAACTTTGATGTCAATATATACTTATGACTTCACCGCAGCGAGAGCCCCCATTGCAGCTACCAGGAAATTACAACACGCCGAGACAATGGCCGACTGTAGTGTGTGGATTGAAAGAAAATGCTTAACAGTGAATAGAGACTCTGCGGAAAACCACAAGATCTCTACTCTGGCTGTTTGATGAATGTTTCTGTCTCGGTAATGTGGCCGTAACGCCCTGCCACCTCCAGCTTCTCTGGATCATGATGAAGCACAAAAACACAGAGGGAGCAAACAAATGACAGCAGAGGAAGACAGAGAAACGCATAAATACGCAAGTGATTCCTATTGTTGATATTTAAAGATCAGGCGGCGGAACAACAGCAGCTCCTTTAAAAGAAAAAATGCTGTTTACAGTTTTACAAATACATAGAATCAGACAGTCAACCTCGTCGGCCCTGTTACAACAAATACATTCGTTTCTGAGGTTAAACTAGTACAGCGCAGGTCCTGGCACATTCTAGTTATTTATACCTGGAAAGTGAACTCTCTCACTCATCCCCAATTATCTCCAGTTCCAGCAGACTGTCAGACTTCCAGCTCTCCTTTCTATGGGATGAAAAATACTCGACTGCAAGGCCAACGAGGGGATTGCCTCAGTGGGGGAAAAGGTAAGACCTTCTCTCCCCTTTCCATCCCTCATAAATCAACCCGTATCCGTCCAGCTACAACTCGTCTTTCACATTTTTGCTGGAGAGTACAACAGCACTGACAGCTCCGGGCTCCAGGCAGGACTCTGAATACGAGGCGGCGCATTAACCCTGGATTACAAGCGCAAAAAAAAAGAACTTTGGTTTGGAGAATGTTGGATTTACATGCATCTGTTGTACCACTTTAACAGTTTGGTAACGGGAGCTTGCACACAAACAGATCTAACTTTTAAATTTGCAGAAATATTGACATTTCAGCATGTCTAATGTTTTCTTGCATGCATGATCATCTGCAACAAACCAATGACAAAAATCCCTAAAGTTAGCATTAGCTGCAGCCCGTTTGGTCAGAAGAGAGATGACAGTATCTCTGCACGCCGACTTCACACATGCTGTTCCGAGTGGAGCCTCTATCGTAAACCAGAGCTCAGGCTAAAGGCCCTGCCTGAACCTGACATTAAAGGCCATTTAAAATCAGGACACTGTCTGATTTGCCACAGTGATGAATGCTTAACCTGGGCCAGGCCTTCTGTGAAACACTAAACTCCCCTGAGCAGCAAATGAGCTCTGACTGTTTCTTTTTATTTGATCCTATTTCATACGGTAGCATCCCTGCCCGTCTGTCTGCTCCAATCAGGCGGCAGTTAAAGGGATCTTTTTGTAGGCAGTCGCTGGGCCGAAGGAGTAAATCTAAAAATGCAGTTTTAAAGAAGAATTAGTACCTTCTTGCGGTCCAAGTGCAAGTTGTAAAGAATCTTAATGATGAATGAAATCCCAAAGGTGGATGCACACCTTAGCTGTGTAAATTATTTGTTTTATTTGGCCTCAGCCCTGAAATGTTTTAACTCTGATTGAACCATGTAGAGCATCTTTTAACTTGAAAAGTGCTGCTTAAATAATTATTACTATTATTTGTCTGAGTCCTACAGTAGGTTTAGGTCCTCGTGGCCTCTCACTCATCCCTCTCCCCGAGAAGAGCGCAGAGAGAGAGAGAGGTCATCACCCTCTCCCCAAACAGGAAGCCCCATCAAAAGAGGATCATGTTTCTGCACAAGCCAGTGAAGAAGAGGGCAGCCGAGCGGACGGCGACGCGCTCCCGAGCATCGCCGACGACTAGCAAAGCACGAAAAGCCATAAATCCTGGACTCGTGTGCATAGGAACTGTGTCAGCGGCGATACGCGGGAGGAGATTTACGCTAAGAGAGATGAATTTCTGACTGTTAGCATCACGTCTCCTGACCTCTGACCCGAGGCTGGAGGGCGAGACGCCGCCGACCGCCACCTCAGGAGATCAGGTGAGGGGGGCGGTCGAACGGCACGGCTGAACCGATCCGGCGTTCTAAGTATCAGACAGCGTTCCCGGTGCGGATGGAAGCGATCTGTGTTAGCTTTATAATTAAGACCAGTTGCTTTCTTTAGGCTGGTTTATAATAGCCGGGCATAAATATTTATTCTCGGCGGCTGGAGAGGATAAAAATGGTGGGAGTCATAGGTGGAGCTCACCAAACATCCACAATCCAATGCCCGCCCTGTGATGCTAATACCCCCGAGGACTACTGTGCCAGACTGTGCCGCAGCAGAGATCAAATACGAGGGCCCTTATGTTGCATTTATTGTCTTCAGGTCTTCCATTTTTCCTAATAAATGAGTGACAGCTTGAGGTGGGTCTGGGTACTTTAGTAGACTCTTTGTATTTTTCCCTCGGGTCAGAGAGGAGAGGGCTTTAACAGCAATCTAAAAGACGTCGGGGAGAGCTGCGGAGCATATCTAATTGCTTTCATATGCCGTATTATTGGTTGATTTAAATAACCACAGACACCAGGGGCACTGGGGGGCATCGCCTTTAACCTCCGCGTGGCCCTGGCCAAGACTAACTGGCTGGGCTGCTGAGTGGCTCGGCGCCCGCGACACTACGAGCACGAGAACATCAAAAGTCTATTTGTTTATTTATCTGCTGCTCTGATGTTTCCTCAGCGACCCCGGAGTTAGCTCTTTCGGATGTTACGCCTTTCTTTAAACGCTCAAAGAAATCAAGACGCTTCTGAACGCTCCGTCACTCGTCCTGAAACAGGAGAGAGGCTGCGGTGTTATGATGACACGGCCGTTACGATGCAATGTCTGGAAACTGGGAAAAGCTGCCTCGGGCCATTCGAGTTCCCAAATACACCCACAAACTCCGCAGAGGGCAGGAAGAGTCCATGGAATCTACATTTAAACTGCTCTGGTGAAAGAAGGTAATGTATACAATTACACTGACTGATTTACAAGGAAACAAAGTTGACCTAAGCGGTAAAATTCCCTGCGGTGCGACGCTTAAGCCTCGATTTCCGCAGCGTCTTACCAGTCAGATCTCTCTTCAGCTTTCTGATGTCTTTGGCGAGGTCATCAAACTTAACCTGAGAAGCCTGGAAGAAATCCTGAGGCTCCAGCAGAGGAAACACACTCTTTTCTGTACCGGCGTGCTGGAATAAAACATAAAAGCGCATGTGAGTGTGGAGTCAGAGATGTTTAAAAAGAGGAAAAATGTTTTCAATTTGTGACGTACCTTATCGAAATTACGCAGGTAGTACAAAACCACATAATCCACCAGATTGATGCGATTGTCCTGAGGATGAAATGATGCAAACATTTACTACTTATTTTATTCTAATCAGACTGTTGTTGTGGACCTATCGTATTGTTACCCTGCTCTTGACGTCCTTTAGCTTGGGAAGGATCTCCAGTCCAAAGCCATCAGCCTGACCTCTTGTCCTGTTCCCTCCATTCATATAATTCCCAAAGGCCAGAACGAGCCCCAAAACCTCCCGTACGCTGCTACAATCCAGCAGCTCCTGACACAAACACACACAGTTATTAGGGTTAGTAAACCTTCATGTGGTTTCATGACACTTCTGCAGCGGTGTTTGCTGACGTTCTTACTTTGCAGACATTGGAGATAATGTCCACCTTGCGCCGTATGGAGGAGATGGTGTCGAGGAACACCGACTGGAAGATGATACAGTGGGCTCGGCGCGCGAATTCAGGAATCTGGGAGAGTTCGTAGAGAAACCTTGGAAAACAAAAGAGGAGGAGGAGCAGAGGGAGGAGGAGAAGGAGGAAGAGAATGGGGTGTGATGTGTTATGACAGAATTAAACAAAATGTCCAACAGGAAGAACTATTTTGGGTCCTTGGCAGGCCGAGCTTCCCCACGCAGGCCCGGCTGAGTCAGTGTTGCTGTTCCCAGGCAGGCGAGGCAGCTGATAGTCATGAGCGGCGCTGCTCGGCTGGGTTTGAAAGGTCCACGGGGTCGGGTGGAGGGAAAGCAAGCGAGCGGCGCACGGAGGCTGATCAAAGGTAGCTCCGGCCTGATGCGGGACGACTTATGTAAACAGTGCCGTGTCGGAGGGGAGCGGAGCGGTAACATCCTGTGTGATTAGGCCGTGCTGATGGAGGCAGACACTGAGTAGGGATGACTCAGGCTGCTATAGTGACAGCTCTGGTCAAACATGGAAATAGGCCGGGTCCAGGCCTCGTTAACTGGCCGGGACGACTTAACCCTGACAAGAACTACTGAACTACTGGAGCAACGTCCATGAATGCATGCGAGTTATAGAGGACTAGATACAACACGGGCTTCATGTAAACAGACAAATGATGGTTTAAATGATAACAAATTAATCGTACAAACACACTGATGCCTCTATAGGTCTTGCTAAACTATAATAAACTAACAATCATTTCATGTCATCGTCCGTCACCAGTGGAGTCGTGTGAAAGCTCAGAACCACATGTACATTAATTTGTTTGATTAGTTTAGTTTATTAAGATCCTCGTTAGCTGCAGCAAAGCCACAGCTATTTTTCTTGGGGTCCAACAGAATTTGCTCTAATATCGTGATGCTTTCAAACCCAATAAAACGTCTGTTAAACTGGATGCATAATTAGTGAAAAACCCAAACTCATCAGTAAACTGAATACAAGAAAACATTATAAAAACAAAACAAAAGCCAAGTGAGCTTTACACTTCCTCACATCCTGACATACACATTATGAGAAACTACGTCATATAACCTTGTGCATTATCCTTACATTATTATATCATATTTTCGGTATATATGTACATAGATTTCAACCATACATGTCATATACACATATCTGCCTAAACCATCGATTAATAATTATAATGAAAATATAATAAACCATTAAACGCTGAATACCTGAGCTCACCTGTATTTTTTGATAAAGATATTTAACATATTTCATGAAAGAAAACAAACGTACTGCTCAGGTTTGTCCAGCAGTTTGACTTCATCTTCTTTGGAAGTCTCATAATGTCTCGTTATCTTCTCCATCTCGTCACTGGTGGCCCTCTGTCACAAGACACAACGAGTACAAGATGCACATCAACACAGTTTAGCTTTAGAGAATTGCATGCAGCAGTAACACAGGCACTCGCACTGATAAGCCACGCGCGTAAACATTTATTTGTAGCAATAAAAAACAAATCGGTTTTTATCTATTCTCTTTAAAGCTGTCACATGACTTTACAGCCTCATCCTTCTCGCTGCTTTATGATGCTCCGCGGAGCGCTACTTACATTTTCATATAAAGCCTCGATGGTCTCCAAATCCACCACAGAGTTGTCCACATTAAGAACAGCTGTGAAAAAATAACAGCACAGATAGTCGTTAGAAGCCAGTCGGTCTCAGAAACGGATCCGCTCTCGGCCCGAGCCAGCTGCCGTTTAAGCGCTGCCAGAAGACGTGAACTCACGACAACCCTGTAATTTTGTCAGACATCGGTTAATGGGACATTAAATCTGTGGCAAACTACATGATGCAACGAAAATTAAAAAGACTACTGCGAGAGTAATGTTTGAGGGAAAGCAGCACGCTACTTGTACCACATTTGCAGCAAAAAAATTAAAACAATTGTGCTATAAAATGTATTTATAATATTATCTTGAGGTGGGAGGCTGAGGGTGCACAGACATGTGGTGCAGACTGAGACCACAGATGATAGGAGAACAGGGAGCTTCAGTGTTGGCCTGTCGTATTTGGGGAAAGCAAATTGGGCACAAATCCACTCGGCACGGCTCAGAGAAGAAAGCCTGAAACTGCTTAACCTCTGAGCCGAACCACCGCAGCCGATTAATGATTTTAGAGCGGGGCAGAGGAAGGTGAAGGTGAGAAGAAGTGGAAACGAATCAAATGAAAAAAGAAGCGTCTTGTGTTGTTTGGCTACAGATTTAAAGCTGTAAAGAAAGCATGCACGGAAGGCAGAAGTCAGACGACGTCACAGGAAAGAGAAAGTTTCTTCTGTTTAGCGTCTGAGAGGCGTCACAGGTTTATGGCTTAGTGGGATGGGGGGGAGGAGGAGGTGGTGGTGCTGTCATGATGGGAGGGATGCCTCCACTGGATCAGCTGTCTGGTCGGTGTCAGCGGAGGAGGAGTTACTCAGCAGTAGTGGAATGTACAGTTACTCGAGTACTGCACCAGATTACAGGAACTTCAATTTTGTGCTTCTACTGGTGTACTTTTTTACTCCACTACATTCGTCTGACAGATTACTTTTCAGACGTCACATCATCCTACGACGCATCTCCACATGAGGTGTTAATAAACTGGAGGATTAAGTGTTCCCTTGTGGGTTGAGAAAAGACTTCCCACTTCTTAAACTAAATAAACTTTTTAAAAAAAATTTCTCTCGGATTAGTTGAACAGTGCATCATCACGGAGCTGCGAACGAGGCTATTTATCTTACGACAAGCTGACCTTTTAAAGATATGTGGCTCTAACAGGGCAGTGATGGAGGAAACGTGATGCAATACTGTGGATTCAACTAACCAGTGTTGTAGGAAGTAGTTAAGATGAGCTGACCTTTGGAAATCTACAGCAGTAATTACAATACAAAAACATCAGAGAGGTGGAGTTTATCTGCTTAAAAACTTTTACTTAAGCAACTTTCTGGATGCAGGACTTAATGTATTTTATTATTGTCCAAATACTTCCTCTAATGCTGCTACCCAGTGTGACAAGACAGTTTTCATTAAGACTTATCTCGCTACACGATTTTCTAGAGAAGGAACCCGAACTGTAAATTTACTCCCTGATAACAAAGCTCATGCTTTCTAAACGGTTTCTATTGTCTCATCTGGGATAATGAGATGACTGATGGCTAAATGACCGTCCCCAAAAAATAAAAAATAAATCAATCTGTGGATATTTCTTGTCCATTTTCAAAGATTATCCAGTAAAAGGATTAAAGCCTAAAATGATTTTCACCCTCTGAACCCCAAATCAGCCAGAAACTGTAAAGACAAAGAACCAGCAGATTTATTAACTTTCTTGTCCTGTCACATGGACGTCCATTGGAATAATTACCTACATCTAAGCTTAAAATCATGATGTCTTGTCAAATTCACTCAATTCAACATGTCTTATTTAAAAGCCAAACCTTTGCTCCAGATTTTGTTGAAAAAAAAACCTTTACCCCCATTAATGACTCAACTGGGAACAACATTCATGTGAGAAAAACCTTGATTTTTGCAAAATTATTAAAGAAATCCGTTTTTCTTTTTTCTCTTATAACTTGTGACATTACAGCTTCTGCACAAAATGCTCAAACTAAATTTAAAAGAAGATGCTCTAATGATTGCCTTGTCTTGTTTGTTAACTTAAATGAGGACTGAAATCATATTTTTAACTTTTAGCTGCATTATATAAACACACGGTTCATGTATGATACTTCAAATACCAAACATTTCAACAGCAATATAAAAAGTGTGGTGTTTTGGTTCGAGTCTTTCCAATCTCACACTACTTCCAGCTAACAAGGTAATACTCTGCATGCTGGTTCCCAGCTGTTCTGTTGCAGAGAAGCTGTCAATGTGGTCCCTGTGTCTGGTTTAGCGAAAACGCTGGAGGTCCATTTCCTACATCTTATTAGAGTGGATTATTCAGTCCCTCAGCCATGCAGCCGTCAATCACACACCAAAGGGGGGCCTGCTCCAGTGTGCACAGGAGCACTCTGATCCGAGGGGAGCCGGATATCTCTCCACACCGACAGATCAAAGCCTGCCTGCCAACGGCCTCACACCCTCTCCCTCCACTTCTCACTCATGTGTATGTGTGTGTGTTTGTGTGCGTGCGGTGAGCTGGTGTGTGGGGGAGAGCCTCCCGTTGCCCTTGAACCATGGTGGCCCTTGAGGTCCCCCAGTCACTTGGACGGGTGCAGTTGACCCCCTCTCTCTTAACCAGAGTGCTGCCTTCTCCACTCCCCTCCTCCCCTCTCCCTCCCTCCCTAGTAGCTGTAATTACATTACATGTACCATGTCCTTTTAATTTGGCAACAAAGGGGAGGCAAGCAGGCGAGGCAAGGGACTAGAGCCCTTAGAAGTGCTTATTAAGGTGCTGTCCTTCATTGTCAGATTCAAATTGTCCATTTCACATACACCTCCCATTAAGGCACAAGGAAGCAGCCTCACGCTGGGTGTGAACAGGCCTTTTTTTTACCAAACCACCTCCACAAGTGGAACAGAGAGACTGACATGGAAGGGAAAGGGGGGAAAAAAAAAAAAATCTAAACAAGATGGTCTTCCCGATGTATGTGCTTCTTGGCTTGTGTTTGAGGTGGTTTTATGTGGTAGCGCAGTGTCTGCTAACTGTGGAAGGTGGTTTCGTACATGCTTAGATCATTAGTGGGGTGTCAGTCCCATTAGGCTTGTGGAAACCGTCACTGGCTACAATAAACAGATCTGCTGGCCGCATGCTCAGACTAGCAGGCGGCAGGCACTCTCCGCCACAGTCCCAGGACAGGACTAATTCCTGGCCCATCTACGATGTCCCCAACACACATAATGTGCGTTTACACACCCATGCAGCCTTTCAGACACACACACACAGGCCTGCATTTTCCACAGAACAACCAAACGTGCAATCAATCGACACAACTCCGTAAATGAAGGAGAAGGCAATTTGATTTTAAGCAGTGAAGGAGGCCGGACAGGAAAACTGCTTTTATCCAAACGTTGCCATTTCCCATTTCGACAAATCGAGGTATTTTCTTTCCCACTGCGGTAGCTGGAAAAATCATCCACATTCCACTCGAAATAAAACTAAATCCCCCAAAAAAAGGCTCTCAATTTACAAATTAGCAGCTGTCAAGATGTCGAGAATTATTTTCTGTTGCAGGATTTTCTATCTCATCACTAAAAACAAGCCCGTCTGCGTTTCATCTGGAGCCATCCTCATTTTACTGAAAGTAAATTCAGTTTATTACTCACAAATCAAAATATAAGCTTCACCCTTGAAATACAGAAAAATGATATTGTGATGTGTTAAACAGGCTGACATCAGAACGTGTCTTTCACCTTGCTGAATGTCCTTCATCTCCAGATGCAGGCTTGATATGAGGATGCCGACCGCCTGTGAGCGCTTCCCATCCAGCAGCTTGATGATCTAGAAAAAACAGAAAACAATTCAGATTGCTAAGATTTAAATATCACATTATAGGACGTAGGCTCCAGCCCCCCTGTGACCCTAATGAGGATAAAGTGGTGTATAGATGGGATATTATAGGACACAGAGCAAAACATACAATTTGAATAGCAGCTGATAAAATTGCAAATACAGAATATTCAGTTTTTAGATTATTGGAATGATTACCTATTATTTAGAATTTGCTTTCAGATTCAGCAACTATTAATGCCTTTACCCCAATTTACACCCTACATTCCTTTACACAGATATTTATAATCAGCTGCATTATTCAAACACTGCATATAATAAACTGAGGAGGAGACAGTTAATTAAAAAAAGTCAATTTCAGCGATGCAGGTAAAACTCAATCTCTTCCAAGACTGTGGAAGCAGACGACGGATGATGAGCGAGACAGAGCACCCGAAGCCCCGGTTAGTCAAAGCAGCCTGCGAATCATCTGGATCGACCCGAGCGGCCGAACTAATCAACACTCGTTATGATCGTCCATCACCGTGACGCAAACAAATGGGAAATGTGGAGCACACACACACACACACACACATAGCTGGGACCCACTTTGTCAAGTTACATCAATGAGGGAACAAAGTCAAACAGAAAAAGCACCTCCTCCAGTTTACCCAAGAACACATGTGAGATATAATCAAAAAATATCAAGTCGCAGTGAAAGTACAAAGGCAAAAGTGGCACCATAAAAGGACAGTCTAGAAGAGCAAGGCGAAGAGAAGCAGGGCTTTTATAACAAACTATAAATTCACAGGATTTTTATTTGTGCCTACACATGGTCACAATTACTTATGACTGAATTAGCCGTAAAGCCAGAGAAAGTTTTGGCAAGGTAAAGCCCCGCTCTAAAAGTTAATGTGTCAGGCTTCTTCATTAGGTATTATGGCGTTGTCGGCTACTGGGCTGTCCAGTGGGAGCTGGAGAGCAGAAGCCTTAGAAGTGGGTATTGCATTACAGGGCGTTAGTGGGTGCCATGCTGCTTCCAGCTCTATTACCTGGATCACTGGGGATCTCCCACTCTGGGGACTTGAGACGGCTGAGTACCAGGCTTTCCCAACACCTCTAATTAACCGGTTTGGACGGGCCACACTAAAAGCAGCCCAGGAACCATTCCCCGCTCACCGTGGCTGCAGAACTCGCCCATTAGCCTAAACA